AGGTTAGCTCTGTGACCTTGGGCAAATTAAAATTACCTAAGTCCCTGAGGCACAGTTCCTTGAGCAGTCAAAATCTTACTTTAACCACTCACTACACAGCCAGGGCAGGAAGTCATTACTTGGGCGGATGGGAGTGTGGGAGTCTGGAGGTACTTGGGAAACATTTGCCAGTTCATAGGCAGGAAAGAGGGAAAAGTGTTTTCAAAGAGATTCAGATCTATTAACCTCCTGCACTAAGGGTTGGGGGTCAGTGGTAGAACATTCATTTTGCATTTTGTTTTATGAGCAAGGGTTTCACTATGAAGCCCAAAATAGGCTGGCACGTCCAATCCTGTTGAGATTAGAGGTGTAAACCCGGCCGGAACAGGACTTGTTTTGCATGTATTTCATGTGCAGTGTGTGTTCTGTGTGGGTATGACAGACAGCGCAAGTGCCATGTTGTCTGTATGGCAGGCAATGAACTGGGAGGCAGCTCGTCTTCCACTGTGGATCCCAGGTTCAGAACTCGAGCACTCAGGGCCTGGGTGGCAAGCACTTTGACCTGCTGAGCCATTTTGCCGGCCACACAAAATTATTTCTAAGTAAACATATGCAGAAATAGGTTTCATTATGACGATTTCAGAGTTGGTGACATATTCAGTGGTAGAGTACTTATCTAGCACGCATTCAGTGTCCTTGGAAACGAGAAAAGAACACCCTATCTATGGGAACTGTTGGAACTGGATTGACGTGGTGGTGAGCTGGTGCTGGAAATTGAATCCTGGTCTTCTGCCAGAGCAGCCTGTGTGAGCTAGGTGGTAGTTGCCCATGCCTTTATCCCCTGCCAGAGGCAGAGGCAGAGGCAGGCAGATTTCTGATTTCTGAGTTCTAGGCCAGCCTGGTCTATGGAGCAAGTTCTAGTTCAGCCAGAACTACTCAGAGAAACTCTGGTCTCCAAGAACAAACAAACAAAAGAGCAGCCTGTGCTTTTAAACACTGAGCCATCTCTCCAGCTCCAGCCTTATGGTTTTTTTTTTTTCTTTCTGAGACAGACTTTGTCTGTGGCTATCGAGCCTGTCCTGGATCTAGCTCTTGTAGACCAGATTGGTCTCGAACTCAGATATCAACCTGCCTTTGCGATTAAAGGCATGCGCCACCACTGCCCAATTAATGCTTTATTTTTTATTCACCCACCCTTCCCCTCTTCTCCCCCATGCCTCTTCTTGTTGGTACCCACTCCCACCTCTCTCTCTCTTTTTTTTTCTTTCAAGATGGGAGTTTTCTCTGTGTAGCCCTGTCTATCCTGAAATGCACTCTGTAGACCAGGCTAGCCTCGAACCTCCCCTTGTCTCTGCTTCCCAAGTGCTGGAACTAAAGGTGTGCACCACCGCGCCACCACCTGGCCCCTTTCCCTCTCCAAAAATTCTTCCTCCTCTCTATATAAAATGTATTAAGCACTGGGCAATGGTGGCACTCACCTTTAAGCCCAGCATTCAGGAAACAGAGGCTGGAGGATCTCTGTGAGTTCGAGGCCAGCCTGCTAGGCTACAAAACTACATAGAGAAACCCTGTGCCCCCCCAAAAAGTATTAAGCTCTTTGAACCCCAGTGTCACAGAGCTGAAGACACAAGGCACATGTTTTGGCATGTGTTCTCTACCACTGAGCTGTGGCCCAGTCCAGACCTCAATTTGCTAGCTTAGTGCAGTCAATAACCAGCACCTTCCAAAAGGCCTCGTGAAATCCAGCCATGGTACCCCATCACTTGGGAGGCAGGAGCAGAAGGATCAGGAGTTCCAGACAAGGGAGAAGCTAAGTTTGGGAAAGTGTTTGCTGTGTAAGTGTGATGACTTGAGTTTGATTCCCAGCACCTACATAAAAACTGCAGATATGGCAGGCGGGGCAGTGGTGGCGTACACCTTTAATCCCAGCACTAGGGAGGCAGAGGCAGGTGGATCTCTGTGAGTTTCAAGGCCAGCCTAGTCTATAAGAGCTAGTTCCCGGACAGGCTCCAAAGCCACAGAGAAACCCTGTCTCGGAAAAACAACAACAACAAAAAAAACAAAAAACAAAAAACTGTTTACAAAGTAAACACTTGTAATCCCAGCATCGCGGCCGTGGAGATGAGCACATTCCTAGGGCTACACAGAAGCCAGGGAGCCCCAGAGCTCAGGGAGAGACCCTGCCTCAAAACCAAGATGACTCTTGAGGAACTACACCAGAGGTTAACCTCTGGCCTCCACGTGCACATGTATGCACAGGCACAAGCAGCTGCACACACCCAGACATCCACCCCCACACTCAAGTATAAAATGTCCTTCTAGGGGGGCTGGAGAGATGGCTCAGTGGTTAAGAGCATTGCCCGCTCTTCCAAAGGTCCTGAGTTCAATTCCCGGCAACCGGTGGCTCACAACCATCTGGAACGAGGTCTGGTGCCCTCTTCTGGCCCACAGACAGAATATTGTATCCATAATAAATAAGTAAATATTTTTAAAAAAATGTCCTTCTAGGCCTGGCGCTGGTAGCGCATGCACACCTTTAATCCCAGCATTTAGGAGGCAGAGGCAGGTGGATCTTTGTGAGTTCGAGGCCAGCCTGGTCTATAAGAGCTAGTTCCAGGACAGGCTCCAAAGCTACAGAGAAACCCTGTCTCGACAAAAAAAAAAAAAAAAAAAAAAAAAAAAGTCCTTGTAAAGGAGATCACAGGCGAGACCCGTCTAGTGCAGAGCAGAGCCTGGTACTCGCCCACTGTTGCAGGTTTTTTCTCCTTCCTTGTCTTTCACCTTCCACATCTCCAAAAGAACCTTTGATTGAAAAGGCAGGGAGACCTCTGCAGGGTCCACCAGGTGATCAGGATCACCATGGAATCTGGCCTAGCTAGTTGTCTGGAATGAGTGGCCTTAGGGAGAAGTGGTCACAGGACTGGGGGAAGGCACACTCATGGACAGTGGAGACAGAGAGTTAAGGCTGAAAAATATTCTCCTTACTCTGCGCTAAGGCACAGTCAGCACCGTTGTCCTTGAAATAATCTCAAAAAAAAAAAAAAAAAAAAAGTGCCGGTACTGCTGTCTAACCCGCTCTGGCGGCTTGGGAAGCGCAGGGGCAGCATGGGGAGGAGGGCTCTCCAGCCTCTGGGTATACATTGTCTGGTTTACATCTCAGCAAGCTGCAGGTGCCAATTACAGGAGGTAAAGCTGGAGCTCAGGGTGGGGCTGCAGGTTGTCCTGGTCAGTCAGCTCGCGAGGGGTTGCGGCTGGGTTTCAAGTCCACGCGTCCACTCTTGGGCTATTTGTTGCCTTAGGTTCTCTTTGCTCCCTCTAGCGCTGACCTCTGAGAGAGAGTGGGAAGGCGATGGCCTCTAGTAGAGGGTGCTGCCAAGGAAATGATTGTGTGTGGATGGTTTCAGTCAAGGCCCTCTCTGCCCTTGGTGGGGTGGGGACGGGGAAGACTGCAAGCGGAGTTAGCCAGTGTGAGGAGCTCCCCCTATTCTAAACACTGGAGGAGGGGTGTTCTCATTCCTAGGCACGCCCTCCTTCCAATCCCCAGGCCGTCCTTAGTTTCTTACTCCTTAGCAGAAAAAAAAAATAAAAACCCTAAGATTGGGAGAAGGGGGTCCCATAGCACTTTAGCCTCCACATCTGTAGCCTTCCCCTGGCTAGTCAAGCCAGCTGTGCAAACTCTAGGTCCGAGAAGGGAAATCAAACACCTTTCTCAACCAATCCCCCTTTTAGCAACAAAGGGAAGCCACCCCCTACCCAATCTAGTCCAGACACCTTAGGGAAGGGACACTAGCCCAGGTCCCCAGCATCTACCCGAGGAACACACACTGAAGCTTAAGAGAGGAAGGCTAGGGCTTGGGGACCCCCTGGAACTCTGTCCTTCAGGCAGTCCCCTCCTCCCCACTAATAGGTATTTCCTGTTTATGAGGCAGCTAGGGCTGGGCTTTGGGGAAGGGATGGAGGAGTTCTTCCCTTCTCAGGGCTGGGTTGGGGAGTCCTTGAGGACTGCCTGAAGGTTGGGCGGCTTCTCCCTCTGGAAGGGTGTTTCCTACGTAGACTGTCCAGGATGCTCCACCCCCCACCCGCGCCGTGGCCTCTGCCCCTACGGGTAGGGGGCACTGGAGGAGTCGGCTTCCTGTTCTCCACCTCTAAAACCCTCAACCCAGAGCTGTTTCCAGGGGGCGGAGGATGGGGGTGGGTGGGTAGAAGGCTCCAGGGCTGGAAGGAGAAAGTGGGGGGATGGGAAGTGTCTCAACTGGTGCGTCAGAGCCTGCAAGAGGAAAGGATGGCCTTCGTAGTCCACCCCCCCCCCCATTCAAACCTAGTGGTCAATTCACAGCCCCTGTCCCCTTGCAAAAAAGCAGACCTCAGGCCTTAGGCGGGGGAGGGCGGGGACCCTACTTAATTAACCCTTTTAGCTCTCTAGTCCTAACTGGTTCAGCAGGCAAGGTCTGGTTAATTTAAGTGGTGTGGGGGGGAGATGAGTCTAGGGGTTGCTCTGAGAATTAGGACAGAGATCCTTTTCCCACCCAGCTGCGGATGGAGCGCATAACACAGGGCCCGCAGACTGAGGCTAGGGTCTTGGCAGAGAGCATAGGCAGGGGTCAGTGCCCCATCCTTCCCGGGGGTGGAGAGAGGGCTACACCTCACTGCCCACCCAGGCTCCGCCTCCCCCAAGCCCCGCTCCCGCTCAGCCCCGCTCCCAACCCCGCGCACCCGGAGGACGGACGCCGAGCGCGAGGCTTCGTCTCCTCCCGCTCCCCAGCGCCCGCCCTCGCCGGGGTCTCTGCCTCCGTCTCGTTTTTTAAGAGCTGCGTCACATGCCTGCCGTTCCCGGGAACGCTCCCTGCCCCTCGCCGCGCGGCGCACGCACGTCGTAGCTCGCGGCGCGCTCGCCCGGGTCACTTTGACAAGGCTCTCCCCTCCCACTAGCAGGACAATTAGCATATTAATAAAGCCCGGCCCAGCCCGACTAGGGCTGGGGAGCCGGCGCCGGCGAGAGGGAGAGGGAGAGGCCGCGCGAGCGGGAGCGAGCGCGAGGGCGGCGACGGCGAGGGCGGCGGGAGCGCACAGACACGCACACGCACACGCGCACACACGGACACACACTCCGGGGACGCACACCCGCGCGTACACACGCTGAGGCAGCTCGCCTTCCTGCCTGGCTTCCTTCCTGTCTGCTCCGCGCCTGACAGGCCCCTCGCTGCAGGCAGGGGCCGCCCGCACCGGGCAGAGGCCGGGCCGGGCCGGCGGCGAGGGCATCGGGGGCCGCGGGTGGCGGCAGCGGCTCATGCCCGGCCTGTCCCTGCGAGGGGCGGGCACCGTGACTCGGCTGGGCCCCCAGCGGCGGGCGATGTGAAGATGTCAGTGGGCTGTGCCTGTCCTGGTGAGTGGGTCTCGCGGCCGCCTGGCCCCTCCCTCCCTCCCTTTCGGCTCCCTCACCCCTGGTTTGGTTGTAATTTGTATGTGGGGGGAGGTGTCGAAGGCTTGGTGGGGTCGGGGACTATATAGAGTTAGCGGGGCCTCAGTTGAGGGAGCGTTTTCTCATCTGTATAAATGCGCAGCAGCCCAGAGGCACGGGGAGGGGTGTCGAGGATGGCTTGTATTTTTTTTTGAGGGGGGAGGCTAACTGGGGAGGAATGGGGGACTAAAATTCCCAGAATTCCAGGGTGTTAGCCAATCAGAAGTGACTTTGGACTTTTGACCCCCCCTCAGGTCATGGTAGAGTTGTGATTGGCTGGTTTCGGTTCCCCCCCTTCCCTGCTTCTTATTGCCTCTTACATATTTTGTGACATTACCCCCCTCGGGCTGTTTCTGAGGATGCTGTTTGGGGGAGGAGTTGATCGGGACCCATCTTGCCCCCCTCTAACTTTTCCTGTCGGTTGCCAGGGAAGAAGGTTGGCTCTCCTAAGGGACAGAAAGCACTCCTAGGGGGTGTCAGATAATTGGGCCCTTGGGTCAGCTATCTCCCTTCGGGGGAGGGGAAATGTATCAGTTCCAAGTTGGCTATGAAGTAAGAGTGGTTTGCCGAGTTGTGTTAGGGGGAGCAAGGCTTGACCCCCGAAGTAAAAACTTGAGGACCAAATTTCAAATCACAACCTTCCCCCAAGCACAGCAGATCTTGCCAGGCGATACCTGTGTTTGAGTTTTTTCTTCTCATAGGGTCGGGGTGTGGGCTCTACAGGTGCTAGGAGGAAACAGTAGAGCCATGCGACAGGAGAAGTAGGCTAAAGAGGGTCCCAGAATATAGTCTGTCCCCTTCCTTATAACTCTGCGTTCTCAATTGGCCTTCCTTCCAGGATGGAGTCGGCTTTCTCTAGGAAGTCAGTGCTCAGTGTCCTGGGTCTAGTCTGGTCTGGATTCTTTGCCACTCTAGACGTCTTGTATTCTGAGAAGCCTATACTTCATAACCAGGACCCCCCACCCCCCCAAAACTCACAAATACACGCTCCCTCAGGGGAAGCTGCCAGTGCTGAAGCTTCCTTGGAAGTCATGTGACCCTAGCCAAGTTGGACTGGGTTGAGCACACACTTCAGGTGCCTGCTGAGGCTGACATTTTAGGGGCATAGTGCCCAGGAGGGGAGCTGGGAGAGCCTGAGGATCCTGGGGTACCTAGGTGTGAGGACCCCTGGCTCCTGCTGCAGAGGGTGGAGAAGAGGAGAGGGAAGAGCTTGCTAGGCTGGAATCCTGCCTACCCTCACATTCGGCCCGCCAATTTGAGGTGTATGTTTGTGTGTGTATTTCTCCTTTGCAATTGGCCAATGCTAGAGAAGGTAGTTCATGCTCTCAGCCCACCCTTGGGTCCTTTTCCTCCAGCATCATGCTTGAGAGCTCAAAGTAAGGTAAGGCTCAAAACAAGCTAGCGGCTGAAACCTGTAATCCCCCATCCGCCCCCCCACCCCCACACACAAGGTTTCTCTGTGTAACAGCCCTGGCTGCCCTGGAACTCGCTCTGTAGACTGGGGGCTATAGAGCTCGAACTCAGAGATCCGCCTGACTCTGCCTCCTGAGTGCTGGGACTACGGTGTTTCCTACCACCTCCTGGCTTAGTTCCCGCAGATAGTAGCTAGGGGTTGTATATGGAGAGGTTGTCAGCCTGGGGGAGGATGGGAGATTGGTTCTGGAATTGGGGCCCAGTACCTGTGTCAGTGGGAGGAACCTGTTCCCCTCAGAGCATGTGTCTCTGTACATGTTGAGCATGGAGACAGGAAGAGGATCCTTGCCCAGGGATGCCTATGTACATTTTCAGTCAGTGCCCCAAAGCTCATGTTATGTCTGGGAGCTGGGTGAGAGAGAAGGAGCAAAAGATGGCCAAGGGGAGTCTTTTTCTTAATTGTGAAGAAGTCTGCTGGACTGCTGTCCCAGCGAGTGGCGAGACTTTAAAAGAGAACTCTGTGGGAGGGGCTTAGAGAGAGGCCTTGAGGTGGAGAGTGGTAGGAGTTGGGCTAAGGGAGGGGACCAGGCTTGCATGTGGGGGGAAGCACACACATCATTCAACCAAGGGCATTCTGACTGCATCTAGCTGCTCAGGCCTGAGGACCACCATCACCCTGAGCAGCCCTGGGGCCTAGGCGCCCTGGCAGGCTGCCTGCCTGCCTGAGTCTCTCCTTTGTGCTCTGCTGTCTCTGGGCTCCTCCTCCCCCAGCCAGCCAGAGACAGCACATGCCCCACACATGTGACTGAGGGAGCCGGAGCACACACAGCCACACAGAGGCACATGCGGAAACACCACAGGATACACATGTACACGCCTCTCTAGCCCTCCTGGTGCTCCTGGGGTAGAGAACATCTTGGGGCTAAAGGACCAGAAGCAGGAACAAGCCTTGCTGAGGAGCATCTCCCTGGGCAGGATGCTAAGGGGCTAAGGCCTGTCTGGGGCAGCATGTGGCTCAGAAGGGTTAAGGCAGGGAGAAGTAGGGGGAGGGGAGGAGGCAGCAGTGGTGGCGGCTGGGAGCCAGGAGAGGAGGATGGCAGAGCGCCAGGCCAACGGGAGGCCGGGCACAGACAAAGGAATGGGGGCAGGCACACTGGAGGCCTGGGTCAGGGGCCCGGGCAGGGGGCAGTGCTGGTACCTCCTACTGTGGGCTGTGTTTCTCTGAGCCCCCACCTCCAGAAGTACTCATAGGCTTCTCTCCCTCATCACCTTTGTCATCCTTGGCTGCCCCCCACGCACCAATTTTTAGGGCCTTCTGACATAGACTTGCAGCCTTTGGCTGGACCTTTTCTGCCCTGTGACTGGGGAACTGGGTCAGAGCAGGAGTAGACTTGCTACAGAAAAGGAACTAAGAGCCTTTTGAATGATAGGTCAGAGTCTTGGTACATCTTGGTGCTCAAGGGCCCCTCACAGAAAGAGCGGAGGCCCCTTGTGGCTCCTGTCTGACTAGATAGTTCTGAGCTCTGGGCTGGGGGCAAAAGCCAGAGCACATACTCCTCCCCCATCCCTATGTAGACAGTCATTTGAAGCCTGGAGGAGGAAGGGTCTAGACTAGTAATGGCTGCCTCTCTCCAGGACTGGGTTTCTATCAGGTGGAGTTTAATGTCCAGGTTCCTAGCCTCAAGCCCTCCTGGCTCTGGTTCTGGTGAAATGTGTGTGTTTGACCCCCTATAAGGACATCTGTGTGTGTCTGTCTGTCTGTGTGCACACTTCAGGTGATGCCCATCAACACGCTTTGAAGAGTTTTGGTTTTTCGCTGAGGCTGTTTTTGAATTCCTTGACCCTTCTTCCTGCCTCTACCTCTGAGTGTTGGGATTGTGGGTGTGCTTGTTCCACTAGGCCAACATGCCCCATGTATATATGTATGTAGTCATGTGTGACCTGGAACTTGTTATTTAGACTAGGCTGTCCTTGAACTCACAGACGTCTGCCTACCTTTACCTCCAAGAGCTGGCATTAAAGGTTTATGCCACCACATCCATAACATGTATTAATTTTTGAAGTAGTCTCCCTGTGGCTGAGACTGCCCATGGAGCTTGTATATGTTCCAGACTGTCCTCAAACTCATTGAAATCCTTCTTCAGCTTCCCAAGTTCTGGGATTACAGTTGTGTTCCACTCTGTCAGGATCACTTTGGAGAGTTTAAAGGCACTAATGACAGGCATTGTTGTTCTGTTGGTGAGGGAAAGTGGGTTTTTTTTTTTTTCAGAATTGGTATCTAAATTTCGAAGCTAAAAGAAATGTCTCCTATCCTCGCGGTAGGCTGCGTACTGCAGGTTCTGGATAAATGACCAGGATTTCAGTGTTTGAGAGCTGGGGTGTTGCAGGTGAGCGTGGTGTGATAGAGAAAGGGGTACAGTGCAGGGAAGGTGGGCTGTGACCAGGACATCCATGTTACAGTGTGTTCCCATTCAGCAGTTTTGGTGTGTATGTTGGGGTCAGGGTCCATGCCTGGTCCTGGCCCCCTATCCATGGACGTCAGAGTCTAACTCAGAATTTGTATTTGTTCAGGCTATGAGTGTATTTAGGGTTTAAGGAGTGTGTACCAGATACTGATTTATGTGAAAGTCAGGGGTGTAATTTACATTTGGAGCATGTTTACAGAGCCAGGTGCAGTCTTATCATTTTCTTGCTTCTGTGTCCCTCATGAAAACCCTGGCCTTGGATTGTTGTGAATGTAGTTGGGGAAGGAGTCCAGCTGCCGAGAATAAAAGTAGGTGCTCCTTCCTCAAGTGTGTGCCTGCGCGTGTGTTTCCTTTTCCTGTCAGTAGTGGGGCCCGGACTAGCACCGAAGTTTCACAAGTATCCCTTCCCCTAGGAAAGCCCTTTTCAGATAACCCAAGCCCTTCCCCACTAACCGAACACCTTTATTAAGACTTGAGAGGAGTGGGCAGGATTCCTCGCCCCTTTCAAGAACCTTGGATAGGCAAATTGGCCATCCTTATCCTGACAACGCCCCAACGCCCGCCTTCCCTAGCATCCACGTGGCTTCAGGGGTGGTGCCCCGGAAGGGTGTTCTTTAAAGGGGGATCTAATCCAGGGTTTGGAACTTGGCTGGGTTTGGGGCAGGGAAGCCTAGACTATCCGTTTCTCTCTAGTATTTACAAGCTGAACTCAGAATGTGGGTCCTTCAAAAGTTCCCCTCCCCCCCCCAGCTTCCTCCCTCCTAGCTGCTTAGGGATTTCTCCGGAGAGCCCGAAGTGGCAGCTCAGGCCGGCCTTTAACCTGAGAGGTCTGTGGGAGGTTTGGCTGGGTGAAGATATTGGGAGTCTGCAAAGGCCAGCACAACCCTTCACCCCAGCATGTGGCTCTGAAGGGTGCGTTTCGTTGCTGGCCCTCCCTAGGCCTCCTCTCGGTCCAGGTCTCCCCTGGCCCAATCCGTTCAGTCCCCAGTCTCCAGGTCTCAATCTCTTTTGTTTTTCTCAGCAGTCCCTCCTCGCTCCCTCCCTCCGCTCTTCCTCCTCGCTGGCGGGGAGGGGGCGGGGCCGGCGGGGCAGCTCCACCCTCCGCCCGCCCTGGGGCCTCCTTCGGCGAGAGGCTCGGAGAGCGAGCGGGGAGGAGAGGGAGGGAGGAGGGAGAGAAAGGGAGAAAGGAAGGAGCAGGCGGGCGCTGCGTGTGTCTGAGTGTGCCAGTGTGAGTGAGTGTGAGTGCCGGGCCCTGCCTCTCCCGCCTCCCCAGCAGAGGGGCCCGGTGGCCTAGGGAGGGCGGGCGGGCTGCTTGGAGGCAGAGGCAGCGAGAGGCGGCGGCGGGCAGAGCCGAGGAGGAGGAGGAGGAGAGAGGAAAGAGCCGAGCAGCCATTGTTGAGGGAAACCTTGCAAACAAAGAAGGCTCCGGACTCCCCGCGGCCCCCCGCCCCCCAGGCCGGCCCCCTGGCCCCCAACCCCCGGCCCAGTGGCCATTGTAACTTTCCCCCCTGGCTGTGGACGCCGCGGGGCGGGCAGAGGCTGTGCATGCGAGTCTTTGTGCGGCCTGCGGAGTGGAGCTCCCAGCCAGACCGGCCAGTCCCACTCGGGACATGAGCTGCTGAAGTTGGCTCCACCTAAGTCCTCACCCTTGCCAGGGTCCCCGAGGGCTTCCAGGCGCTCCCCGCACCTTCCCCGACCCCCTCAGTTCTCCCAGGTAAGTCTGGGCGCCTTGAAAGCTTGTTGGGGTGGGCAAAAGGCCCTCTGTCTAGACCAGGCCTGGTATGCTGGCTGGGGGAGAAGTGTCCCGACTCCCAGCGTGTGGGCTGCAAGCGGGCTGACCTATGGTCAGTCCCGAAGGGAGGAGGCCTGCCCTCAGGTCAGTCTGGTTACTATGGAAATGCCCAGCTTGAGGTACGTTCTCAGCCTCGGGACGGTGCTTCCAACCTGAGCAAACTTTGCTAGTTCTGAGCTCTTCCTTTCAACCCGCTTCCTTAGAGCTCTCAGAGTGTTGAGGGGCAGGTGTTGACTCTGGGGCTGGGTGACACGTTTCCTTGACTCCCACCCCCACCTTGGTCCCTGTATTCCTCCTACGGTGGACAGGCAGCAACAGGGACAGATGGCCAGGGTGATGTCCCTCCCCTTCGCACTCCCAGCCCCTTGTGCTGGCGCTACTGGGAGTTGCTATGGCTCTCTGAGAGATGCTGAATTTGTTTGCCTCCGTTCACTTGAGGTGGAGAGGCCCCAGAGTTTGGGCTTTAGCCCCCCACAACTTTTAGACTAGCCCAAACAATACCCCTGAGGAACTCAACTGTCTTGCTTTTCTTCTCTTCAAGTTCTTGAGCTGATAAATTTCTACAGGAGGCCCAGAAATTCTGTGGGGCAGAGGTAGCTCGGCTTTTTAGGCAAAGAGGGGATGAGGGCCAATTCTGAGAAGCAGACTCTTGGATTCATTGCCTAGGGCTGACCTTTGGTGGGCTACATTAGTTCCAACTTTCTGTATGGCTTCAGTGTGCATGTCTGTGGAGTGGAGAGTCCTGCTGGATGGATAAAGGCTGTCATTTCCTGAAGCAAGGGTTCAGTCCAGGACTGTGCGAAAGCAGTGTGTGCAGTGCTGAGAGTGTGTTCCGGGCCCTGTGAGAGCTCCTGCGGAAGATGAGGGCCTTTTGTGGACACCCTGACACCGCCTGGGGCTGCTGGGTTCCAGCCGGCGGTAGGCGTGTTGAGGCGAGCTAAAGGTGGAAGCCTGCTAGGCAGGATGAGGTACCCGATTGCTGGCACACACAGGCTCTGACTCCTGGCACCTTTAGAGACTGTAGTATGGGCCCCTCTGGGGACCCCCCCTTGCCCATTGTAATATGGAGCCCCTGGGGAGAAAATTAAATGACACAAGTTGGCACAGGGTCTTCTTTTGTCTCTTCCCCCCAGGAGCAAAATAAATTTTATGTTTAAATTAGGGGACAGGGCTCAGACATAGTCAATACAGGGAGTCTTCCAAATGCAGTCAAGTTTTAGGGGCCAAGAAAGTGAAAACAGGGCCAGAATCTTTGAGACCATGCCTCAGTTTCCCCTCTTTTCTGGTGAGGAGGGAAAGAATGGAGTTGCCTGGGTAACTGGCTCCTATCCAAGCATGAATTTAACTGTGGTAGTTATAAACTAGGATGCAAGAAAGTACACATGCTGCTTCAAAGTAGGGGAAGAGAGGGCACCCCTGCAGTGTACAGCAGAGACCCCTTTCTAGTAGTGTTGCCTCCTAGACTGAGCCCCTGGGATGGAGGGGCTTTACCAGGCTCCTGTGTTCGTTTGTAAGTAGACTGTAGTAGAGAGGTCCGTCTGTTTCCCTCCCACCTCAAGGCTCAGAAAGGGCTAGACTTAGAGCTTCTGGTCTGGAAACAATGCTCTACCCTTTGTAGGTGTGGGTCTAGGGGCTGGGCTGATAAGGGGGTGGCTGTTGGTGGGGGAGGCTAAAAGCTCAACTGTTTATCTGGTGGGCCGCACCCAACAGGCACACCAGCCACCCTTATCTTTCTATCCCTTGCCCTCCTGAGACCCTGCAGGGTCCAGGAAGAGCTGAGAAATCTCTAAGTCCCTCTATCTTTTCCCACCTTGGTCACCGGAGCACATATTAAAGGGGTCACAGGGTAGAAATAGAGTAGGATATGGGGATTAGGATATCTAGGTTCACATCCTGGCTTTGCTGGTCGCTAATGGTATGTTCTTGGCAAGTCCCTTCCTCAGTTGCCACATCTTAAAAATGGGAATGTTATTGTCAATCCTGCTGCCTCACAAAGTTGAACAATGCAGATAAAAAGGAGGTTTGCACCAGGCAGTGGTAATGCATGCTTTAATCCCAGCACTCAGGAGGCAGAGGCAGGCAGATCTCTGGGTTCAAGGCCAGCCTGGTCTACCGAGTTAGTTCCAGGACAGGCTCCACAGCTACTGGGAAACCCTGTTTCAAAAAAAAAAAAAAAAAAGAAAAACAACCCCCCCCTCCAAAAAAAGGAGGTTTGCAAAATTGTAATGTTTGACCTTTTTTTCTGTGTCCTGGCATTTTTCCTTGCTTCAGTTCATCCTTCATCATTCAGTCTCAGACCAAAAAGACAGGATCTTGAGCACGAACTGAGATTAGTGCTCAATACTGTGCCCTACTTGCTTGCTCTCTTTCTCCCTCCCTCCCTCCTTTCCTTGTTTTATTGTATATTTAATTATGGGGAAGGGGACATAGGATGGGGCACACAATTCCAGGTACCCACAGAAGCCAGAGGAGGATGCTATGTCCCTGGGAGCTAGGGTTACAGGAAGTTGTGAGTAGCCCTATGTGCTGGGAACTGAACTCGGGTCCTCTGGAAGAGCCTGAGCCAGCTCTCCAGCCCCACTCCCAGTTTCTTAATTAAATAAGATGGGAGCTAGATTTTGAAGAGGTGATCGATGGGCCTTAGAAAGTCCCCTCTAAGTCACCAGACTCCAGAGGACTAACCTTAATCTACACGGTCTAGCAGGCTACCAGGGAAATTCCCAAGAAGCTTAGAGGAGCCGTGCCATTCTCTCTGTTAGGTTGTTCCTCAAAGTCATTCAAGCTGTACTCGCCGAAGGAGCCCCCGAACGGCAACGCCTTCCCTCCCTTTCATCCCGGCACCATGCTGGATCGGGATGTGGGGTGAGTTGCATTCCTACTTCTAACCCTCATTAGATGGTAACCTGCCTGGAAAGGTCCCCTCCTCCAATAATTTCTGTCTTCCACCCTGATTCTACGTCTCTCCCCTTACACAGCCCAACTCCCATGTACCCGCCTACATACCTGGAGCCTGGGATAGGGTAAGTGGATTCCAGCCAGTAGGGAAGCTTTTCTTTGCATGGATCTAAGCAGAAGTGGGGTAGATAGGATGGTTCTGCTCCTGACCTCACTTCTTTACTTCCCCAGGAGGCATACACCATATGGTAACCAAACCGACTATAGAATATTTGAGCTTAACAAACGGCTACAGAACTGGACAGAGGTATGGCCGAGAAAAAGAGATCAGGACGACGGGGTGGTCCAAGTGAGCACCCCTGTGGAATGTTTTATTGCACACTGGCACTCATTTTTGTGTTCTGCAGGAGTGTGACAATCTCTGGTGGGACGCTTTCACGACTGAGTTCTTTGAGGATGATGCCATGTTGACCATCACTTTCTGCCTGGAGGACGGACCAAAGAGATACAGTGAGTGGCTTCTGTGAGAATATTACACTCTCTCTGTACTTTGTGAGTCTAGAAGTCTTAAGAGGTCTGCCTTGGTCCTTTTTGAAGTATCTTTGTCCTGAACAACTTGTCCTGTTTTGCAGCCATCGGCCGGACCCTGATCCCACGCTACTTCCGCAGCATTTTTGAGGGGGGTGCTACTGAGCTGTATTATGTACTTAAGCACCCCAAGGAGGCATTCCACAGCAACTTTGTGTCCCTCGACTGTGACCAGGGCAGCATGGTGACCCAGCACGGCAAACCTATGTTCACCCAGGTCAGCAGACCAACAGGATATGGAACACCAAGGGCACCTGGCTTTGATTTCCTCTTTCCCAACATGTATTACAGCTGTTCCCCGAGGAGGCATAATGGGAAGTGGCCAAATGAGAAGGGAGGGCAGGCGTAGCACTCAGCAGATATTTATTTGGTTTATTCATGTCAGTTTTCTGGGCCCCGAGGTATACGGTGAACGAGAGCCTGCCCTCATAGAGCTTGTAGCTGATGGGTTTTTCTCTGGCTACTTGGGAAAAGGACGAGGATCTGTTAAGCTTTCCTACTATGTGTGTGTAAGTATATGTGAGTGTGTAAAGGCCAGGTATGACAGGTATATGGGGAGGGGGCATGCTACAACAGTTATGCACCCAGATATTTGCACAGGTAGCAGAGTTATACGCAGGGGGAGTTGTGAGTTGAGGGGAGAACTGTAGTAGGCACATTGTTGTGTATGTGGGGAAGGCGCAGGGTTTTGATGAGCCTATCCCCAGGTGTGTGTGGAGGGCCGGTTGTACCTGGAGTTCATGTTTGACGACATGATGCGGATAAAGACATGGCACTTCAGTATCCGGCAGCACCGAGAACTCATCCCCAGGAGCATTCTGGCCATGCACGTGAGTTGTGAGCAGGACCTGAGATGCGGGGAAGGCTAGCAGCGGTGGGGCTAAGCAGACTGCCATCCCCTGCCTGAACTTAGAGAGGGGAGATGGGTTTCATACTAGCCCCTTTCTCTCAGTATGTCACAAGCTCAGGTGAGAAGATGAAACCAGATGTCAGTATTCTTTCTCTGTCTCCAGGCCCAGGACCCCCAGATGCTGGATCAACTCTCCAAAAACATTACCCGGTGTGGGCTATCCAATTCTACTCTCAACTACCTCCGAGTGAGTCTCTGATCACCCCAGTTTTGCCCCAGCCTCTCTTGTTTGAGCTGTCTGTCCCATAACAATCTAACTTACCTTCTGGTCTACCTCAGCTCTGTGTGATACTCGAGCCCATGCAGGAACTCATGTCCCGCCACAAGACCTACAGCCTCAGCCCCCGAGACTGCCTCAAGACCTGCCTTTTCCAGAAGTGGCAGCGCATGGTAGCACCTCCTGGTGAGTGCCTTGTCCCTGCCCTCTCCAGGCTCTGACAGCATACCCTGAGACTGTATCTTTTATCTCCATGAAGTTCCCTCTGTTCTGTTTCTTACTCCTGGGACTACAAGACTGAGGGCAGGGTAGACGCGGGCTCCTGAGGAATGGGAATGGAGAACGGGGGTCCAGGGCCCTTTCCCACCTGAGTCTTTTCCCTGGCACAGCGGAGCCTGCACGGCAGCAGCCCAGCAAACGGAGGAAACGGAAGATGTCAGGGGGTAGCACCATGAGCTCGGGGGGTGGCAACACCAACAACAGCAACAGCAAGAAGAAGAGCCCAGCCAGCACCTTCGCTCTCTCCAGCCAGGTACCTGTAAGCATCTCGGCTTTCTTCTCTTCTGGGCTGCCCCACTGCTCATCCCTGACCCCTGTCTGACCTGAGCTGACTAGCAGGTGTAGAAGCAAAGACAGTTTCCCCATGTACTCACTCACTCTAGAGCCAGCATGACCTGACTCCTTTTACTGATGGGAGAACCCTTGTCAGGCACATCCATGCATGGTTGTGATCACACAAACTCAGCCATAGGTACATAGAGCATGGGACAGGATCAGCTGTGAGAATATACAGGCGTTCAGAGCAGACAGCATGAGGCACACACCATCAGAATACACTCGCTGATGGAAGGGATGGCAGGCTCGAATGTTGCATATGTAGAATACACGCACATTTCTACACATACACATTTCCCTCCCTCGTATTTTTGATCTGTAAGCTCTCTTAAAATATGGACAAAAGTTTAGGGAGCCCCTAAAACCAGAGGGAGATGGATGAGGGAGCTAGGGAGTAAAATGGTATTTCCAGAATCCAGTGGGTAGGGGCTAAAAGCTGTGATGCTTTGGCATCCTTTACTAGAAAGGATTCCAGGAGCGGAGGGTGTCTAGAGTTGGGGTTTTAAACTTGGGTATGAAGAGGGGGCGGGATATCGCGCTAGGGAGGGTATGGGGGCTTTGGGGGATATCTACTGCCCTGGGTCGGGCGAGCCCCTGCCCCGATTATGTTTGGGGACCTCCGCCACTCTCAGGATGTGATGGTGGTGGGGGAGCCCACCCTGATGGGCGGGGAGTTCGGGGACGAGGACGAGAGGCTCATCACTCGGCTGGAGAACACCCAGTTTGACGCGGCCAACGGCATTGACGACGAGGACAGCTTTAACAACTCCCCTGCACTGGGCGCCAACAGCCCCTGGAACAGCAAGCCTCCATCCAGCCAAGAAAGCAAATCGGAGAATCCCACGTCACAGGCCTCCCAGTAAAGGCCCTGCGATGGCCACCCAGTGCTCTGCCTGCCCCACCCCTCACAGCCCCAGGGAGCAGAAGACAATAAGAGACTGAGCATCTGAAATGGGCAACCTCCATCCACCCACTTCAGGGAGGAACTGGACTCACTGGGGGCAGGTGCCAAGATTTGTCCCCCAGTTGCCCTGGGCTGGGCCTGGCCCCTGCAGAGCCTTTTGGGGGAAGGGGGTACTCATGTGGATGCCTATGTGGACCCTGGGCCTCTGAGAAATGTCCTGACCCACCTCTCCCCAGGGCATTTGCCCCCATTCTCACCCCAGGTTCTGGGTGTCCCAGCTTCCTGATTTATCCCTCTGAGCCTGGGGTTTATACCCACAGCCCTTAGGGGCTTAAACTTAAGGGGCTTGGTTGAATGCCTTTCCCCTAGGCGGCTGTTAACGGGGTAAAATTCTGGGCTCCTCCCTTTTGCCACTTACCCAGCTCCAAGTTTTTAAAAAAAATAATATTATTAAAAATGTAAATTAAAAAAGAAAAGTCACTCCTGTTCCCCTATTCCCCTGTTGAAAATCCAGCTACCTCCCTCCGTCTGGCAGATGGAGGGCCTAGGGCCCAGGTGGGGTGAGAGTTGGGGCAGGGGAAGTATGCGTGCCATTTTATACAGTTGGAGAAGCTTCAGACCAAGGAGACTCTTTGCCATCCATCTCTCTTCTTTCCTTCTGGGGTGACTGGAGTTGGGGGCTGCATGCCATCGCTTGGGGATGGCATCATTGATGACCATCTTCTGGCAACCCCTGTTGTCTGTCTCCCCAGCCTCCAGGGCTCTAGCCTGGCCTCCTCGTGCCTATGAGGCCCTCCAGCCTCCCCCTCCGTGGTGTGTATTTTTACAGTCCTCCACTAGAGCAGCTGTCCTGGATGGGTGGGGAGGCTCGCTCCTCAGGGAGCGGGGAGGGAAGGGAGCTGCTTTGCTTGTCACTGTCTTTTTGTCTCAGTGTGTCAGGAATAGGATGAGAGGACCTTACCCACTTTACACCTTTCCCGGCCCCTCAAACCGTGTATTTAGTCCTAACCTCTCTCTCACAGAGGAAAAAGGAGCCCCGAGACTGTCCTGCGTAAGCCCACCAGGGAGAAGGCCTCTGTCCTCCCCCAAGCTGAGGTAAACATTCCTGTCCCCGTGTCCCCTCCCTCATAGAAGAGAGGAGGGGCAGCCAGTATCCTCAGCTCCCTTTCATAGTTGAGCATGTGGTTCAGGGTGAGGAGAGGCCAGACGCAAGGGTCCGTGGCTCATGGCTCTGCTGCCTTTTCCCGTGGCCAGTGTGTATGGGTGCCTCCTCTCCCCATTCTCCCTTTTGGATTATGGGGTCCCTTGTGCCCTGCTTCCTCCATGCCAGCCACTTTTGGGAGGATGCTGTCAGGAGCCAAAGGAAAGGGTGAGGAAGGTGGATGTCCCATCCCTACTAAAATGATTTTTTCTTCTATTTTTTTCTTTACCTTCTTTTTTTTTTTTTCTATTTTTGGCCATTTGAGTCATGTATGGTACCAATCAATAAAGAGACTTTTTGGTTTGAGAGTGTCCTGGTTAGTCATTGGTGCAAAGTTTGTCAGGCAAGGTGGCGTATGGCTTTAGTCCTAACACTCAGAGACAAGAGGATCTCTGTGAGTTCAAAATCAGCCTGGTCTATATATTCCAGGCTAGCCAGGGCTATACATTGAGACCTTGTCTCAAAAACAAAATCTCTCTGTTCAAGACAGGTTTTCTCAGGAATTTCTTTCTTTCCCACGTTTTTCTCAGTGGAGTTGTTGACTCATGCTTGTCTTTCACTCCAGGTCCCAGTCTTTCTTCTTAGGTATCCCAGCCTAGCCCCAATATCTTAGATCATGTCTTTTCTCACAGGCACCCCACTCCCAACCGCTATCCCTTATCTCTAGCTGTTAGGAGGAGATGATACTTCTATACTCCTGTACCTGGAGGAGAGTCTTGGATGAAGATGTTCAGAGGCTTGGGAAGGGGTCCTTGAAGGGAACTTGGCAGTCAGGATGCCTGTGAGCTCTTAGCTGTTTCTGGGACAACATAGCCCCTGAGCCCAGATGAGATCTAAACCAGTCTCCCCTGGGACCCAAGGCCCCTGGTGAGTGATTAAGAGAGGAACAGATTTGTCTCCTGCAAACTTTGTTAGGGTCACCTAAGTTCTTTCTAGTTAACTACTAACTGCCCCACCATTGAAGAGATTGTCAAGATCTGGGAGACCCTAGTGTGGGTTGAAGCTTGGGTCTCAGCACCCATGATGCCCCCTACCTACCCAATGTCTCATATTCATCCTAACGGGAAGCCTCAGACTTCCCTTACTGAGGTCTGTGGATCTTCAACTAACACTGATAGACCTGTGCTGCCTCGTCTGCCAAGTTACCTGGAGATAGCAGAAGGACTAGCTGGCTGCCACACTGCCACACCCACCCCCTGCCACAGTTTACCTGCCTGTTGCCGGCCTGGGACTGCGACTGCTCACACATGGACATGGGCACACGTACACACAGACATACAGGCTTCACTGGGCCTGACAAGGGCATTGGCTAGCCACTTTCTCATTCCGAGTACCGTGTAATCCCTGTCGGTGCTCTATGACTGGTGTAGAGTGCACATCTGGCCTCCATTGCCTGAGTGTGTGCCGGTGTTTCTGCATACGGCTGCTGGACTGAGGAGGTCCTCGGAATGTGTATAAATGGAGCCAGCAGTGGTGGTGCACGCCTTTAATCCCAGCACTTAGGAGACCGAGAAGGTGGATCTCTGTGAGTTTGAGGCTAGCCTGGTCTACAGACTGAGTTACAGGACAGACTCCAAAGCTACACAGAGAAACCGTGTCTTGAAAAACAAAATGTGTGTGTAAATGTGTATGTATGCATGTTTATGTGTGGGTTGGAGAATTTATTCAGCTAATATTGAGTCCTCTTAGATGCCAGGCCCAATTCTAGGTACTAGGCGTGTAGTACCAGACAAGGCAAAGAGAACATGACATCTGGGTGTTCATGGTGGCTCTAAGTATGTAATGTGACTGTTGATATTGAATAATACATGGCTTAGCATTTAGGTTGTACTGTGTTATTGGGTCCTGGGGCAATAGTTGTAAGACTGAATTGTACATCGTGTGTGTGTAAGAGAGAGAGAGTGCTCTGCCCTGCTTGGAGAAAGGGGTGGGCTCAAGAGACAGGAACTCACTCTTTGGACTTGGGCAGCAATGGCTAGCAGTTTTTCTCTGGAACCCCAGAGGTCCTCACCATTGTCCCTCAGCAGCCCCTGTGGGGAAGGCCCCTGGTGAAAGCATTTCTGGCTATTTCTGAGGTAAAGGAAGGGAGAGTCCCTCCAAGGCTCTCGTGCCCTCTGTTAGAGCCACAAGTGTGATTTAGTCCCAGACTCCAGCCTGCTACCGAAGAACTTGTCTCAGTCCATTCCTGCTGTGAAACCCCTACAAACCACAGCGCTCAGCTTTCTCACAGTTCTGGCCTGGAAGCCATGGAACATGAGCTCTGACCCCTTTCTTGAGACCCATGCTAGTCTTTCACAACCTGCAGCTCTTAAACTAGTTTGACCTTCACCTGTTCAAAAGCAAGACCAGGGCTAGAATGATGGCTCAGCGGCTGAGAACATTCTCGGGGGGGGGGGGGCAGGGGGGAGCCGGTCAGTGGTGTCACACAACTTTAATCCCAGCACTTGAGAGGCAGAGGTAGAGGCAGGCGGATCTCTGTGAGTTGGAGGCCAGCCTGGTCTACGGGAGCTAGTTCCAGGACAGGCACCAAAGCTACAGAGAAACCTTTTCAGACTCCAAGAGCTCCAGGCATGCATACAGTGCACATAACGGAAATACAGGTAAACACCTACACACAAGCGTTTAAAAAAGGAGACCCCTAGCTAACCATCCTACACCCTGTTAATCAGAACTCAAGCTCCTTTCCCTAAGCAAAGTCCTTCCGTAGCGTCTTTAACCAAGCCTGGTTGTATCGTGGAGTTGGTAGCTGTGAGGGTCAGGAACTATCTGGGAGAAGGAGATGAGGGGTCAGAGGAGCTGTGTTCTGTGTCAGGCTGAAGGAAGGGAACCCCAAATGGGACTTTTGACAGCACCCAGGATGCAGAGAGGACTGAATTTACAGCTGTCTCAAAACACAGAGTTCCAGCCAGATTTCAAAAATGTTGCCTTTGCCCTTGCTAGTCCCGACTCCCAAGAACTCAGTGATACAGTTTTTTTTTTTTTTTTTTTTTTTTTTTT